TCTCCCCAGGCTGGGGTTGTGCCTGGCTGGGATTTTTTTTGAGATGCCTTGAGCAGAGTGTAAGACCAGGGTGGGAAGCTGTGAGCTTTTTCTTTAATGCCCCCAAAATACCATTGTTTTCCACTCAGGGACCTCCTGAGCTGGACATGGTTTATTTTAGTCACTGGCATCTGTGTATCTTCCTTCCATGGGTGTATCCAGTTTCCTTCTCAGTCTGTGCAGATTTTCATCATCTGCAGCATCCTTCATCCAGGGTCCCACAGCCTCAAAGACCTCTCATGGGAAGAACCATCTCTTTTCATGCATTTTGAGGCTGGAACCTGATTTTTGATGAAAAGAGATGAATTTTTAAGCGCTTCTTAATTAGTTCCTTGTTTGTCCATGTGAGCAAAAAGTCCAAAATGAAGAATATTTAGAGATGCTTTACCCATGTTGCTATGATTAAAAAGTGATTTAAGACTTGGAATTCTTACATAAATCCAAGATGAGAAAATGATCCAGAGTCAAAACCTCTTGTGTGGTTTGATAAAAAACCCCCTGATTTTTATCATTTTATATTCATAATAAAGTGAAAAAATGAAGCCAATGAAGGTGGGTCTTTGAGAGTTCCCCTGATGCTTTTRGGGGATAATTTATTGATAAATTCAGTTCTCATCTGATGGAACATTCCGAGCTGTGCAGGTGTTGCTGAGGTGTGAGGACACACCTGAGTTCCACAATACCCTCTGAAAGCCTCAGGTGACACCTTTACCAATCCTCTGGTTCTTGCAGTCACCCAGCAGGAATTGGGATTGGTTTTGGGTGGGAAGGTATCAGGACTGACCAGGAGCTGGGCTCTGATGGAATGTGGTTGAACTGCAAGGGGTGTAGGAATGTTATAGGGTCAATATTCCAGGAAAATTGATGGGGATCTGGGGATCCTGTGCCATGTGTTACAGGAACTCACTTGGTGTAAATGCTCTGCTCGCTCTCCCAACCACATCCTGATGGATRAAGGCTTCCAGCTTTTTTCCTGTCATTGTTTCACCCCATTTTTGTTTTGTAGAGGGCCTGCATTGACTTTGCCATAAGTGCCAAGCCCCTGACGCGGTACATGCCTCAGAACAAGCAATCCTTCCAGTACAAGATGTGGAAATTCGTGGTGTCCCCTCC